CCGGGCCCGGCGGCCCGTAAGAAAATCCCGTACGTAGTGATACGTTCTCTCGCCCAGTCCCAACGCTCGTACACTTTCAAGTATCGCAGCATGGCTAACGTTGTCGAACGCCTTTCTGAGGTCGAGCCCGAGTATCGCTTTGGTGGATCGTGTGGGATTGTCTACGATATCGTGCTTGAGTTGAAGCATAACGTCCTGCGTGGAAAGGTTACGACGGAACCCCAGCTTCGTTTGTGGGAGCATGTTTCGGTCCTCGAGGTAGTTGGTAAGGCGAGCGAGAACCACATGTTCCATGACCTTACCAACGCAGGACGTCAGGGATATCGGTCGAAGGTTGTCAATCTATACTCGTTTGCCCGGTTTGGGGATCATAATTTTGCGCGCCGTTTTCCATGAGTTCGGTATAGCGCCCGCATTCCAGCACTCGTTCATGTAAGCAGTCAGTTGTTCTATCGACTCATCGTCCAAGATACGTAGCGCTTTGTTGGTTATCCCGTCCGGGCCTGGCGCCGCCTTTGTGTTGAGCCTGTGCAGCACCGCCCTCACCTCTGCAACGCTGAAGTCCTCGTCTAGCTCCGCGTTACCCTCACCCTCCCAGGCGTATGCCGAGTGCACGAGGGGGCTACGTGAGTGAAAGTAACGGCTTCGCACGTCATCTAGAAAGTCCGCGTGGGTGCCTTTGTAGTCGTGCAGCAACTTGTTAAGCTTAAGTGCGTGCGATGTTTTCGTCTCCTCCGGATCCAACAGGTGCCGGAGGAGATGCTACGTCTTGGCCCGTCCCACCTGGTTCTCCATCCCATTGCAGATCTCTTCCCATTGCGTTTTGCATACCTGTAACGCGTGCTCTTCCATGTCCCTGCTTAGCCGTGCTATGCGTCTGCGCAGCGTTCGTTTGTGGCGTTGACGCTTCCACCTGTCTTGCTGGCTGCGCTTGGCTTCCCACATGTGTAGCAGTTTGCTGTCTACCACTTCAAGTTGTGCTTCTGGCGGAACCTCCCGCGTCGCCGTTTCTAAATCCCCCTTGAGCGTCGCAGTCCAGCTATCTATATCCTCAATAGCCGCACTGCCACGATTCTGCTCTTTCCGGACTTTGCGAAACGCGTCCCAATTCACCAGCCGGTGGTTCTTGCCCTTGGTACCTTTCCGATGAATGAGGTGTTGAGGTTCAGCGTCGACCTGGATCTCGATCACTGAGTGATCGCAACCCAGGTCCTCCTGTGTATTGTGCCATCGCGCGCTAGCAACGTTCTTGGTAAATGTGAGGTCAGGTGAGGTGTCTGCACATACGCTGTTGCCCCTGCGCGTAGGCGTGGAATGGTCTGTGATGAGCTCGAGGCCCTCATTCTGCGCATCGTCCCAAAGGCGCTTACCTTTCGGCGTTTCGTAGTCTTACCCCCGCACCGCGTGGGGCACATTGAAGTCGCCCGCGATGAGCAAGGGCTCGTCGGCAGCTGCCTCGCGCGCCTCTCGCAGTAACGTGATCGGAGAGGAATAAAAAAATAACACTTCTTGCCGTAGGTTAGGCTGAGGTTAACATATCCTCGTGAAAATCAAAGTGACATTCTGCCGCTGCGTTTTTCAATAACACAGTGAAAATTCATGTGATGTAAAACCCAACATCTTAATAATATATGTATCATCTGGAACACTTACCTTGCTGAATTCAATACCTATAACGTGCCTTCGTAGATACATATTGCTCCTTGACGCCTAATTCACACTTCTAATGTGCATTGTCACTTCATAAGGATTGAGCCGTAAAAGTACAGAGTAGATAAGAAACGAAAATCTCAGCTGTTTCTATTAACACGTAACAGGTATTCAATAATACGAGTTATAGCCGTGGTGAAGCATATATGCAGATTCTGCAATGCTACAACATGCTTATAGCTCATGCTTAGTCGTATATATCACTCGGAGATCACGAACTTTTATCTTTCTGCACGCCGCGCATACGCTGAGATGTACCCAATCGCAGATGATAGCGTCAAATGTATTTTCATCTTGACTATATACAATGACAGATCGTAAAGTTCCATCGACAACCGGTTACTGAAACCGGCACACAATGAATACCGGTGTTTTCGCAAACAGGACTCATCGCGTTATTCACACTGCACACACCACGCACAATATTCCCAGTTTCACCGTCCGTGAAGGTGAACCAATATTATCGATGCCTTTCAGCACACTACACGCCACAGTCAACACTACACGTTTTCGAAGGTCATGACGCTATTCCACGCACAAGCAGCCATGTGTGTTCACTTCTCCGAGATAAACAGAGTGCGACTGTTCTCACAACAAATCCGTGCAGGGTGGGGCCTCGCCGCGATGACGTAGCCACCATTTTCTTTTTTTTCTCTCTGTCTCTCTCTCTCTCCGTTTGACGGCGCGGTACGCGGTCAACGCGGTCGCTGTGGTGGCGTGCACTCCACGTGAGCGAGAAGCGTGCACTGTCTTGTTTAGTAGCCGGAAAATCGGAACGCAACGATGAGCGAGCCTCCTGACGGACAGAAGGTGATCGAAAAGTACCTCCAAGGATTACGTCATGATGACGGCTACTCTCATGGCTACCTGAAGTCACACGAAGAGCTAAAGCTTTTTGAGAGGTCCCTGGCTGCCGTCAACGAGAGGTATGCTGTGCGGACATCAAGAGACCTGAGCAAGTCGTCTAAATGTGAGGATGTCTCGATTGCTTCTTAATGTATTGATCTGCACGTAGATCTAGCATTGAAACACGCAGTATTAATTTAAACCAGCTAGGGACACGGCAGGACAGGCTTCTTCTCAGTGGCGGTTATTGGTTTTCCCCTTTTTGAAGTTAGGGTTAGGTATCATTGTTTTCGTTACCGGTTCACAGTTCCCCTGGAACCGATTCATTTCGGCTTGAGTGAAGTATTGTTCGGATTACCGGGACATGACCCAATCTTCAGAGATTCTATAAACGTTATTGGAGCTGTAATTGGCACCTTGTCCGTGTCTGCGTGTTTCTTTGGTCCCCGTTGCTTAGCGCCCCAAACAATTCAGTTGTAACTGAACTGTATTTTTTCGATTTTAGTAACGATTAGCAGCGCGCTAGAAGCTATTTGTGACACGGCCGTGCGTGCCATCCGTGGTCCTTCAGGAAGTGTGAATTAGACGTCTTGAGCAAGGCGGGCCTGATGTTGAACGCTGTATATGAGAAGCTGAAGGGTCAGGGTCGAGATTTTTTGCCCAATTATAATAAAATCCCGAGCGCTAACCAAACTGTAACGTGTTGGTGCTGCTTGTAAGTTGTAACTTAAAAACCTCATAAAAATTCTGGGTAATTAATAATAATAAAAATGATAATTATATTTATTATTCTGATTGACGAAAGCCAGTATTTATTGCCAGAAGCAGCGCATCTTAAAGTTTTTTTGCTGCAATTACACAAAAACTAAAACAAGATTTGATATTGCCCTCTGCCATGCATAAAACCAGGTGCCTTCATTAAATCATCTTTATTGTTTATTTTCAGCTAATGTCGTCTTCTCCATGATCCACTGCGGATCTCGAATCTCTCTGGACAATGTGCCGTTCCGAGTTGTCAAGGAAACCGTCAAAGTGTGCATATTTGGAACGGAGTACTACAAGAAAACTCAGGAGAAAAAAAAAGAACAGGTATGGTACATGGTGATGCACTACCAAAAGTTTCAATCTCATGCACATATCCAGCAGTCTTCCAGTTCAAAGATTGTGTGTAGGCAGTGTAAAGAAGATTTACTTCAAGTTACTACAAGTTTACACGAGAAATAAATATTGTTAACTTCTTTTACAGAGTTCAAGTACCACTGACTGGCAGAAGGAGGTGTACGAGAAGAAGCGGGTGAACCTCCAAGGCACAAAGAAGAAGGGGTGCGCAGCAACAATGAATTTGAAATGGATTGAGTTGTACCCAGATTTTCAGGTATGTATTGTGCAATGACAAGTAAAAAATAATACCAGATTAATTTTTGGGGACCTTTATCATGTCATTTATGATTGTGCAATCCGACACAACACAGTTGGTTGAAGATCATTCTGGTTTCAAGCAGCGCAACAAGATGAGCGCAATGTCATCATGAGACAGAAGACAACGCTCTATATTTCCACCATTGCCAGTAGGTATACACGTGGGAAATAGCAAGATAAACAGAGTGTGAAAGATGAAATGAGCACAACGCATACAGTCTAGGCATCTAAGCCAAGACTGTATGTGTTTTGTGCTTTGCGCTCTTATTTTGCAATTTCCCGCATGTATACATACTGGCAATAATGTAAATATACTTCCAGCTATTCGTTCAGCGCTGTCTTATGTCTCATCTTGACTTCGCCCTCATCGTGTCGCACTGTTTGAAACCACAAAATATGATCTGTGTACTTAACAGTGCCTGCTTTCTAGGTGGATGTGCCCAGCCATGCGGCCAGACAAGAGAGGGTTGTCTGAAAGCCGACAAGACCAAGGAGCTGCAGGAGGCACTTAACGCAGAGCAGCAGACTGTGGCCAAAGAGACGCGGGTATATGTTAGGATTGCCGACTGCAGTTTCCATCAGAACCATGGTTTCGAGGACATGGAAGCTTTCAGCCAAAACATGGACAAGAGCGTTGCGGAGCGAATTCAGATGTTGGCAAGAGAAGGCATTACTTCTGTATCAGATGTGAAAAAGTGCCTTCACTATTATGTGCACGACGTACTTTTTGCGAACAAGGAGAAGCCTGATAGCAGCTGCAGGGCCTTTTTCCCAATACATCGTGACATCAGCAACCAGATCCAAGCTGTGCTTAAGAAAGACCGCTTCAGCACAGGTGATCAAGAGAATGCTAGAATCCTAATTGAAAAGATCAGGGTTGAGCAACCCGAATCCTCCGTTGTCTATCGGCCGTATGCAGCACGCAGCTTCATGGGTAGAGCGACTCGGACAACGTGGAAGAGGGCGTTGCCAGCGAGTGTGAAGACACGTTGCTGTTTTGCTTCCAAATAAAATTCATGAGGAGCATGCTTAAAAAGTACGGAGGCTCAGTAGTTTGCCTAGACGCAACGCACAAGACGAGTGACTATGCCCTACGACTTTTCTTGCTTGTCGTGAAAACACCATCGGAATACACACCAGCTGGTGTGTTTATCATACAGTTCGAGACGGCCCACTGTATCGCTGAGGCTTTAGACGTTTTCAAGCAGTGGTGTGACAACTGGTCCCCACAATACTGGATGGTGGATTATAGCAAGGCAGAAATAAGTGCCATCAAGCAAGTGTTTCCAGGGAGTCAAATCTCCATCTGTGACTTCCATAGACTACAGGCATGGCAGAGGTGGCTGCGCAGAAAGGAAAACAACATATTCGATCCAGATAAGGCCCTGAGATTCATGGAACACGTAGCCAGTGCTTCAAATCAGCATAACTTTGACAAGGCGGTTGAAGTCCTTGTTGACTCTGAGTATTGGAAAAACGAAAGTTTCCGCAGTTACTTTGAAGAAGTGTGGCTGTCAGTAAAGGAGCTGTGGGTCATGTCTTACAGGCTGGAGTTTGACGTTGTGTCGACCACAAATAACGGCATTGAGGCCCAAAACCACGTGTTGAAGGCACAGTACGTGAAAAGTTCTAGCGGGAAACGGTCGTAAACATCCCTGATCATGACTGTCGTTCATGGCTACCTTCCCGACAAAGAAGCGAAATTCCATGAGGCAGCAAGGAGGCAGTCATCAGCGTACAGACAGTACAGTGAAAATGTTCCTGCATACCTGCACAACCGGCCTCATGGGTTCGTTAAGCATATGCTAAGACGGCTCGTTAATGCAGAGGAATACACCCCAGCAGACATGGAAGAGCTCCCCGTTGAAGGTGTGTTTACGGTTCATTGTGAAAGAAGTGATGATGATCTGTACACTGTCGACTTAACCAAGCTATCGTGTACCTGCCCTGATTTCAGGAAGCACAAGTACCCATGCAAGCACTTTTGTGTTGTTTTTAAGTACAGCGACAGGTGGGGATTTTCCTCTCTTTCGCAGAGTTACCTCAATCGACCGCAAATTACTCTTGGAAGCTGTCCAGAATCCGAAACAAGTTCCGAGATTCCCCTTGTCAATCAGCCCAGCCCTTCTGAAGTGTCTTCACAGGATCTTGGTACAGCAGCATCAGAGTCAGACATCCCCTTTGTCAATGAGCTTTTGTGAAGTGCATTTACAGCCTGGGGTTGCTATGCTTCCTGGGACAGCAGCCCCCTCAGTGTCGGAGCTACACAAAAGTATAACCGACGAATTGGAAAAGTGCAGTTCCCTTCTTTACTGCTGCCATGACGTTCAAACACTGGTGAAGTCTAGGGGCTTATTGCAAGCCACCTTCTGTAAGCTGGCTGAATCTGTGCCACAGAGTTCAGGCCTTCACATTCGGGGCTCACCGACAAAAGGATGCTCGTCTCTGAAGCCTCTTCCGAAAATAAGACGCCTCTAGTGTGCTGTCACTCTGCCATTGACTGGAGCTTTGACTGCTAGGAAAGGATCGGGGGAAACGGTAGAGAGGGACCACTCGGTGATTTTTATTTCATTCTCTTCAAAAAAATTGCAATTGTTGCAAAACTCAATTTATTTTACCATTCATAACTTTGACCTAAACACAGTGTTCGGACATCTTTGTGAATAATTTTTAGAATGTTTAGAGCATTTAAGAGTAATATGGTATGTTTTATACTAGACTTCATTATAGTCATGCAATTGTGACATTGCAACGACTGTGTATGTGTATAAATGCAGCCGTAATTTTTTGTGGTGGGGATACTCTCAATTCAGAGAGTGTGGGAAAGTATGTTTTTAGGCTTCTGCTTTCAATCTATGTGTATAAAACTGCTTGTAAAGTTGCAGTCTTTCTGTACTTGCTGTGGACGGGCTTGCTTTTATACTTTACTTTTGACATTTAAATATAGTACCTGTTGTATGTGAAAGCATGTTGGTACATTTTTTCGTGTGGTAATTTCAAGATGTATTCATAGCGTGCTTGTAATATCCATAGACTATAAATAAACCAAATGTGAGAGAATGCGTAATGTGCACAAAAAGTTTACTGTGAAAATGTGAAGTATGGTTACCTACACAGCAGAGCAATTTCATCAAGACTGCTGCAACAGCTGTGACCGGTTCATGTAGAGTCTGGGCAAACAAACTGGCCTTTTTTTAGGGCAACTATGGGAACTAACCCCTCAGTGAAACGCTTTAGGTATACATAATGATACTGCAACGGAAAGTTTGACATCCACTTAAATGTGGATGTCAAACTTTCCTTTGCAGAATCTTACCCCACCTTGGGGGTTTCCCCTAAATCTGGTCCATATTGATACTACTGACTTGGGCGAGCTGCTTAATTATTCAATCTGAAAACTTTTTAAATGGCACCATATGACAACGGGGATATAAAAGGGGTGGCATAAGGAACACGAATGCACAAGAAAATATTACCGGAAGGTGATCGTCTCAACTTAGCATTTATCAGCTAGTATTTTTGAACTAAAATCTTCAACATGTACATTTAGTATCGTGAAACTAGAAATAGTCAACGTAGAGCTGCCTAGTTTTTGCCCGTCATGTATCCAAAACATGCAACCTAATGTATGGTGCATACTACATAGCCTTTCCATGCAAAGGAGAGAAGCCTCATGAACCCTCTTCTTTGTGCCTTAGAGGTTTGTTCACTTCTTCGGCCAATCAGCGGTACTTTCATGCTGTAAATGAAATAAAGAATATTTATTTCTGGTGTTTTTGCATGTTAACAGACGCACAGGCCGGCTTTGATAAGTGCAAAAAAAGCAAGCCCATGTTTTTATAGTTCACACCAGAGATGTAGCCATGATTTTCTTTCGCTCGCAACTACTGATGGGGGGAAGGCATGGCAAAACGTCAAAGGTGGGAGAGAATGTGGAAGAGGTCCCAGCAAAACTGAACATTTCGGTGTGCAGCAACCCCCGGCTTTGTGTCTCGTTCACAGTCATAATGCTCTTGGGCTTTTCCTAAATGTATTCATTGGCTATAAATACCCTAAGGGCCCCAAAAAGGGCATATGTATAAGAGAAAATACGTTAAATACAGCTGCCGCAAAGTATGCACCTTACACTGACTGCACACAATCTTTAAACTGGAAGGCTACTGCATATCTGAATGAGATTAAAACGTTTCCGAGTGCATCACGATGTAACATATTTGGTCTTCTTTTTCTCCTGTGTCTTCTGCTAGTATTCCATTTCAGATAAGCATACTTTGACGGTTGCCTTGACAACTGGAAACGGCACATTGTCCAGAGGGATTCGAGATCCGCAGTGGATCACGGAGAAGACGACATTGGCTGAAAATAAACAATAAAGAGGATTTAATGAAGGCACCTAGTTTTATGCATGGCAGAGGGCAATATCAAATCTCGTTTTAGTTTTTGTGTAATGGCAGCAAAAAAATATTAAGATGGCTGCCTCTGGCAAGAAATTCTGGCTGGGTTTCGTCAACCAGAATAATAAATATAACTATCATTATTATTAATATATACCCAAACTTTTTCCGTATGGCGTTTAATTTGCAGCTTACAAGCAGCACCAACACGTTACAGTTTGGTTGGGCCTTGGGTTTTTAATACAACACTACAAAAAAGCTCGACGCTGACGCTTCAGCTTCTCATATGAGTTCAACATCGGGCCTGCCTCGCTCTAACGTGTAATTCACACTTTTAGCAGGACCAGGGATGGCGCATACGGATGCGTCACGAATAACACAACCAGAATTCGTGTCTCGTGTTGCGCACGATTGCTTTTTCGGTGTTGAAAATAACATAAATATTAATTCTGAAACGCACAAATGGAAACCAAATAAACGCCCAAGCGCAGCTCTGCCTTGAATTTAAGGCAATTATCTAAAGAGCACAGGAGCAGAATAGATAAGGTATGTGACCCTATGGCAGACCTTTAACTTTTTTCAAGTCATGATTATCTTGCATGCGCTGTTCTAATCATGACTGGAGCCCGAAACTAAAACAGTTCACTCCCAATAACGTTTCTTAAAATTTCTGAAGATCGGGTAATGTCCCGGACCCGGTACACCACTCAAACCGAAATGAATCAGTGCCAGGGAAACTGAACCGGCAACCAGAACAATGATAACCGACCTTCTAAAAGGCGAAAACCAATCAATTGTCTAGTGTTGCACTAACCGCAAATGCAAACACGCCTGTCCTGCCGTGTTGAGTCCCTTCATCTACGTGTTTCAATGCTAAATCTACGCGCAGAGCAAAACATTAGGAAGCAATTGAGACATTCTTACATTGGGTCTCTTGATGTCCGCACAGCATACCTCCCGTTGACAACAGCCAAGGACCTCTCAACAGTTTAATATTCAACAGCTTAATATGACAAGACAGCGCACGCCGCCACAGAACAGGGAGACGCCGCGCACAGCATACAGCCACAGAACAGCACACAGCGAACCAAGTCGAGGTGGTGTTGAGCGAACGCGCTGCCAAACAGAGAGGGGGGAGAGACAGAAAAAAAAAGTAAATGGTGGCTACGTCATCGCGGCGAGGCCCCGCCCTGCACGGATTTGTTTTGAGAACAGTCGCACCCAGATAAACAGCCAGCTAGCGTGGCGAATATTTCATCACGCACTTTCTCACACACCTAGATTATCTCTGACACATACCACAGCTAATGTTGCCACGATGCGATGAAGATTAAGCTTCCAAAAAGAAAATTAAAATTGCTCAAGCACCGAGCGATTGCACCCCACTCAGCAACCAGCGGGAATGTTTTGCCAACCACCGCCTACTACACGTGCACCAGCGACGTCGCCCTGTGACGTACCTCGGTAGAGGTCTAATAATCCTCCTCCGAGAAGACATCACCCGAGAAAGCGCTAATGCCTCTAGTGACATACGACAATGCCGTATCTTTGTCACCTCTGGAATTTTGTAAATATGAAGTCGCTATTGCCACGAAGTTGAATACTGGCCATGATATTTGTTTTTTCTCAACACGGCTGAGCTAGACTCTACATGCGAGCCCATGCAGTATTTCCCACCTATTGTCGCAAGCATGGCGGCAAGGAGTCTGCACAATGGGGGCGCTCAACAAAAGCCGCAGCTGCCTAGATTACTTCAATTGCTTTTGCTGCGCTGATTTAACACGCCGCACATTCCCGCCTTTTCTATGGTGTTCAGCTGAGTAACCAGAGCTATAGTAGCTAGAAAGGTTTTCCTAGTGTCGTGAACGAGGCGGCGAAGCTGAAATAGTTGATGATACAGTTTCCAGAAGGCACAACCATTCGCTGGCACGCGTTTAAGTCCGTTCTCTCAGGCGTTTCTCGTTTAAAAAAAGCTTAGTGGTAACGGTACACAGTCGCTGTGCTCGTCACACAGGCCGCCGATAAATTGTAAACAAACAAAAAAAACTGATCTTCAGAGTATGCTGCCAGGTTATCTTTATCTGGAGAGCACATACAAGCGGGATATATAGAGCGCACTGAACGAAGATGTAGGAGCTTCGTGGGTTCAATCCCGGTTCAATAAAACTCTTTTCCATGCAGTTGCGGTTTAGTATAAAAACATCAATGATCATCTTTATTTCTGGCAGTTACATGGCAAACAAAATACAACAATC